CGTCGAACTTTTCAATACGACCTCGTTCATGAACATCAGATTAACCGTTCCGTTCGTTAAGTTCAGCAAATTTTCACTCGGGCGCAAGAATGAGGGCTTGCATAATGCGATGTCCTAGAACCACCCGCGTTTCTTTCATCCGAGCTTTTCTTCGATCGATCAATTTTTTCCTCTATGTCGATTTTTTCTCAATGTCGAGGTAGCAGGTTTTTCTACTATAAGCGATTAAAACCGAAGGGTTCTTTGCGAACAAAATTGCTAAAGGATAAAAAAACTTTATTCTGTAATTAATTTCAAATAAAAGTTTCTCGACATAGACATTTTATATAGCAAGCGACAAATCGAATTTGCGAAGATGTTTGTCGATAATTCTTGATTTACGAATAATCCGATCTGGACGTAGATAAATCGCAAAAAGGATGCATTTCGGGTGATTATCTCAGTCGATAATCTGGTTTACCGTCTATCGTTTGACTGTACGAAATTTCAACGCGATCCACGAAACACGAAGACGCGATCCACTTTCCACAGCTCTTTGTATGTTTCGAATATCGGATCCTCTCTGTTCGCGGTTCAATGACGCCGAAACACGGCAATTGTAGTCGAAGCGTTTCACTCTAACGAGCGGCTTTAATTTCTGCCCTCTTTCCGCATTATTTGCTGTAGAGGAGAGTTTCGACATGAATCACTACCCGACGTGAAACTTCCGCTCGCTCGTCGAATTATACGGTTTGTAGATGAATCGTGATGTAAGTCGTATAAAGGCGCTTCTCTTATTAATCTTAATATAAATTGATTAATTTCGTCTATCATTTCTATTTTTTTCTTGCGTATTTCTATTTTTGATACGAGGAGGAGACTTTTAGCGAAATTAAGAAAATTACGAGGAAACAAATATTCCTTGTAGACACATGTGTGTTTGAAGTTGATTAATAATTTCTACGGTTTTTTAAATATTTATTCCTATTACTTATTTAATTATACAGTCTTGTCTTTCGCGAGTATTAATTTATCAAGCATGACAGTTTGTTGTTTCTTCGCTACTTCCAATAATTTTCAACATGTCAACGAAACGAACAGACATTTATCATATAGGCACCCTTTATTTAGTACTCAGCCCACATCGTGTAACGATGTCTCGCGGCCGCAGATGCGCGGTGTCAATCAAGCGCTGATAACTTTATACGCTATTAATAACGATTTCTTACGGTTGTCAATTGCGGAAGAAGGGAAACTTGATTGCGTGATGCGCATGTGGAAGTGAAGATAAAAGTGGACAATATCCAGAATAGGATTTGCGCATAATCCCATCCATAAACCGAAATGATCTAACTCCTCTCGATCTTGAAATCTTCGTAATCTCTCGACTGAAGTTTCGCCCGGTTGTGTAAGGATGTTGTGTCCAGAAGACATCCATCTCGAAAGGCAATAATCCCACATCCTCTCTCCGACCAGCCCTTTACCCAGCAGCCTATCACCACGGCTATCCTCGGCCAATATTATTTTAGTGACGCTACGTCGCGTGTTCCTTCCGCCGTTCGTCGTCGCCGTCGTCGACGTGCGAGATGACCGGCGAGAAAATTGACCTACCTACGGATAGGCAATCGCCTGCTCGTAAGTGGCGAGAGAGCGTGCTAGGAAATAACGGAATCGCGTCTGAAATTGCTTCCGGTAACAACTTTGACATTTAAATTTTGGTCGAAAATTGCGCTTTTAAGCCCGATCTTTCACAACATCGCTTATTTTTCCTGTACTTTTTCAGCGCGATTCAATACACGCGTGTCTGGTGTTTATTCATCCGACAGTCACTGATCTTATAAGCGCAACGGAGTGTGTCGCGAGATTTCTCGTGATTCTTATCGAGTCCATAACCGGCACATGAGATTGATTCATCCGGGGCGAAGCTCCATCCGTTTCTCGACGAGATATCTCGCACGACGTCCCGACTCCGTCGGACGATCCTGAGACAATTCCGTGCGGGTCGTCGAGCACGTAAAACGCTAGCGTGCTGTTCACCGGGTCGCGCGCGGGAGATCGGTCTCTCAGCGGAAACGGGAGGGATGAAAAAACGAAAGGAAAACAGCGGGTGAGACAGCGTTATGGAAGGAAGAGCGAACGGGGGGAGAGGCTGCTTCCTGGATCTGAGATCTCGAGGGCTCGAGGATCGGAGAGAAAACAATGTGCGATCCGCCGGGTTGATAGAGGAGATGGGAAGAGGATGGGCGTGTCGGTGTTTGGCTCTCCGAGAGATGGAGAATTGAAAGATGAAAACAGAGGAGAGAAAGAAAACGGAGTCCATGACAGGTGTGGAGGGGGATTTTGCGGGGCTCCGAAGCGAAAGGGGGATGGCTGGACTATAATCCATACGTCCGCGGGAAATAAATAATACACGAGCACGGGGATCGGGTGGTCAGCTCTGCCGGATGTTGGTCAGGGGATGAATCCTCGTATCCCCCATATCCGAGGAAAATACGGAATCCGAGTCCCTTTCCGTGGTTCGTCCCCGCCCACTCTCTTCCGTTTTCTCTCCCTTTCTCTCTCTCTGTGCGATCGCTGAGAGATAGGCGATTCCCGAGAGCTTCTTCTGGTCTTTGAACAATATTCCATCTAATAGCGCGTATTCGATGTACCAAGGATGTTCGCGGTGTACTTTCGCAAGATAAATTGCGTGCGAGATGTGCGTCGTCGTGAAAAACGCGTCCTTCTAATTGCACTCGCGGAGTTGTCTTTCAACTTTATTTACCTTCCAAGTTAAACGTAAACACTTTGCAATTCGCCGCCGTGTTCTATATGGGCTGGACGAGTGAGTGTATATAATGTACATTTAAGTGTAATATTTTCATTTTGCTTCCGTTCCTCGTACTTTGCGCGATACTGCCTCGAGTGGAAAACTTCATTAAATTGGAAAAGGTAACATTTTCGTTAAATTAAAAAAAGTAACAAGTAATCTCCGCTCTTTCGTAAAACGAAGAAGCAGAGATTACTTATTACTTTTTTCAACTTTTTTTTAATTTATGCGCAAAAATTGCAAATTATAGCGCAAAGATCTTTGATGTTAAGTTTTTTTTTTTTTTTGTAAAATTGCAAAAATTATATTTGTAAATAGAAGAATAGAGCAACATTTGTTTGTTTTCGAAGATAGACGTGGAAATGTACAAGCATTATGTATTCTGTAATTGTGATGTATTGTGAAAGGAAAGAATTTCTTGCAAAATAATGAAGTTAGAGGTTACTCCTGTGTTCTTTGTTGCCCGATAACCCAAGGATGGCCGCGGGACAAATCCGCAAGACGCATCCCTGCGGCTCATTTCCTTCCGCTACGTCCAGTCGTCTTTTCCCCCTTTGATCTCGCATTCCGTCTCGACGTCGGCCGCCGAAGTTCCCGGTGGTTTTCCTTACGAGTTATGAATTATCTCTCGTGCATTCGTTCATGCGAACGCTGTCGCAGTGAAGGATCTCGCTGTCAAAGCTCGTCTGCAGATTTAACGGGGCGGGTCCGACCGCTATTGCATAATGCAACCTGTAATTCGTGAATAAATGCAGCGACGATGTAGCGGACCCGATAAATATTTCGTTAAGCGCTACGCGATGCATACGACGCTTTTTCGACGTTGACTGTTGTCAGCGAGGAAGTCGCGACTGTATAATGAATATAGCATAGGAGAGTCGTAATCGTGAAAGGACGAATTCGTATGATTATAAATATAAGTATAATTATAAGAATCTACCTTTTATTCATTATTAGACACTGGAATTTTGTACTATAAAGTTGGTAGCAATTTGCATTTTCTTTACGTCTATAATGCATTAAAATTTTATATTTTAAACAAAGAAATGGTCTAGAATCAAGTTAATCAGTTGATATTGAAAAGTTGATTATTATAAAGAAATGTTTCAAATTTTTCTATAAATTTAATAATTTTTCTGATTGCCAATATTTGTTGATAATTACGTGGATATAATTATTAATGTAAGGATCATTGAATTGAATATGATAAAACGTAAATTTTTAATTTTACTTTAATTAATTCAAATAATTTTCTCTATATTCTAGTTTTTTAAAAAAGAGGAAAACAATATATAAAAAATATTTAAAAATAGCTACTATTTTTGCTACGGATAAATTATTCTTTATACCGTACAGAATATCGATTTAATAATGTAATGTAGGCGAATTATTCATGTGCATCACTAAAGCAAATCTGAGCATTGCTTGATTAAACTTACAGCCGATTATTCCGAAACATTGTAAATAGAATTTTCGTTACAACCACTTGCCTCTGCAAATATTTATTTTATACCAAAGGCCAATTAATAATCCCATGAAATAAATTGAAAGAAATTATTCGCGTAAGATAATTCGCAAAGGACCGAAGAATTATGGGGATTAATTATTAATATCTCACGAGAGAAGCTCTTTCGCTCGAGTGACCGCAGCGTTTTTCCGCTTCTGAGAGACTCCGTTAAGCATTTAGGTTCAGACTGTCGCGTTAAAAGCATCTTTTAGCGGTACACTGCTGTATGCTTCTGATCCGTTTCTTTTGACGCCACGTCCGAGATTTATCAGCGCTCTAAGGACGAAGCATCGAATGGATTTCGCCGTGGATTCAGCAAGGAATGTTTCTTTCCGCTTCTTAAGTAATCGAGAGATACTCGGCGCGATAATTTATTTCAATTCCTTTCAGAGCTTCGGGGATAAAATGGAATGGACGACGCGATTAGTGCACGCGAAATACAAAACTATCCGGTTTGATGTTATTTTGTAAATTACTGCAATATCTTACGGTTTGTAATATTATCGTTCCTGCTTCGAAAATATGTAATTAATAATGAAGATTGTCGTGGTGTAGATTTATGCGAAGGCGCGTGACGTTGGCAGTAATTCTGGATTACATTATTGCTTAGAACCGTGAAATATGCGTCACGGCAAGTAGAATTTATTGAGGAGTCGTTGTATAAAGGGGTTATTTATATCTCACGAATGTGTTCTATTGTTTCAGAGGGGTAGCGACGAGCTTCTGTCGCAAAGCGGGGCAGTCAGCAATGGTGCTTCAATGAGTCCTCAACCACATCACGCAGCCGACAACAACAATGACGCTAAGAAAGTAAGTGCTTTTAATTAAATAAGATACGGCGGACCCGATACAGTCGCCGCCGGTAACGAACTTAGAGTTTTATAAAGTTCAACAATAGGGGCTCTTGGCGAAGGTAGCTGAAAAGTTCCACCACTAGAGAACGATTATTATTTAATTTATAGCTACACAGTGTGACAATTTCGAAATAATTAGAAATACGTTCTTAGAGAGAAACTCGTGAACACGTATCGCCGAAAAAAAATCTCTCTTTGATTTCAACGGCCATGTTAATTCACGACGGAATAAAATACAAGGAATGTCGATAACTTTCTTTTCGCTCCGTCCATTTTGCCGACGGCGGAACGGTCGTGCGGAGAGCTTTTTGGAAAAGCTCTCTTTTTTTTTTTTATTCCTTCCAGCTGCCTCGGCGAATCGACCGCAACCGGAACACGCAACGAACCATAAATCATTGCATACCAAAGAGAAATTCGTATGCAGTGACCTCGATTAAAATGCGTCTATTGAAATCTAATCGGTCGTTTTCGCATTTCCCGAAGAGTTCTCGCGTTCCTTCCGGTCTTCCCGTCGTGACGAGCATACGGTATATCAAAGAGACAGGGATTATTTTTTTTCTCGGACAAGTCGACTAACGCTGAATCGTTGTACGCTGAAATTTTTGACGTACCGAGGGAAAAATTCCGTCGGACAAGCGCGCCGCCGATGGGAAACTTAATTTTTCACGTAGTTATAATCTTCCGCGCGTAACGGCACGTGTCAACGAGAGATATGACAAATATTAATTAGCCTCGTGTGTGTCGTGAGATAATCGACGGCCGATGGACGATGAGAAATTATCGACGTGTAACTCTGCAGGAAAAATTAATTCCCGTCGCAACCCTTGCTTCTCGCTTCGAGCCAATGAAAATTGCAGCGGGAGAGAGAGAGAATGGCCATCCGGTAGCCTGACAATTATTAATCGATCTACTTACGGGATCAGTATAAAAGTATAGATTATTTTGCGAATGCCATTAAGCATTCTATTTACGTCTCGTTGAAATTAATAGTCAGCGGTAAACTTTATTCGACATGATACAAAGAGCGTTCCCTTATAAATCTTTTGCAGGTGAAACATTTTTCTCAATGCCGCGTACGAAATTATCCTATTGGGATTTTAATCAAACAGGACCACGCTACTAATGGCATTCGGAACAAAAAAAGGAAAGAAAATTAATTCAGTGTCTTTGGAAATTTTTTTAGAATTTCTAGAGATTAAAAAAGGTTTACACCTCAGAAGTTAAAAGAATAAAAGACTAACATTTGTTTTCACGAGAGGGGCAAAAAAACGCGACGTAAGATACGACCTTTTAGCGAGGTAACGTACCTTAATTAATATTTTGCGCGCGCTACAGAGGCGACAGCCGTTTACGGTATAAGCTTTGCCACAGTGAAGAGGGCGGGCAACACTTTTCTCGCGCACCTGCTCTCGTCACGTATGCTCGACGTCGTCGTCACACGTCGTTTCGACGAGGACGCGAAAAAATGGTGGAATTTCCGACGACGCAAACGACGTCAACGACGATGGCGGCGGCGGCGGCGATGCCTGTGTGTCCTGAAAACCGCACAGGATGCGGGCGTGTCTCGGATCACTCGGTTGCACGTGCAACCGTACTGGATATACCGAAAGTTCGACCTCGTTCCTCGGCGTCGTTAATCATTTTCATACAGCTACAAACAGAAGCAACTGTGGATGCGATATGTAAAGCTGCTCACGCTGCTTTCATTTTCCGTGGAATTTTACCGAAATTCCTGTTTAACTAAATCCACGAGTTTGCGTCATCTAAAAAATGTCGATACGGTTTGATTAATAGTTCGGTAGAATGTGGCCACCGGTTTCCCCGTATTTTAATCTGAAACGTAATAACGATATTCTTCAAAACCCGAGTTATCTTTTGGCACGTATTTTTATAAATTACAAAAAGACGATTTAGCATGTGGTATAAATCGACCGATCGTGCGGTAACATATGCGCGTTATATCTCACAACTTCTGTCATTTTTCATCGTGACAAACAATGTCATTTAAAAATGTCAAGATGATCTTAATAGCATCGTTAAAATAACTGTCCGAGTGAAGCTATTTTTACCAGCCAGTTCAAATTTGATTATAGCTGAATAAGTCTAAAATATATTATTTTCCGCCGCAAAACATATATTAGTGATACTGAATCAATTGTACGGAATTATTGCCGATTATCCATTATAAATATTAACTTTCAAACCGCTTTTAAACATATTTCATATTATTCGTTCGTAGAAATTATATGTTAATTAAATTGTATACAAACATAATCATTCGCTGGGTAACTAGAGCTCGCGCATCTTTCTGTTTGTCATAAAATTGCAAACAACGATTATTTTATGGAACATTCGCGGAAATGAAAATATTCACGCTATCGTATCTGATATTTTTTTACAGCGCGTTGCAAATATCTCGGCAACAGTACGAACGCATTACGATAGCACGGGATGTAACGCGAAACCCTCGTGTCTATCAGTTATCGTTAATATTCAGTGTTTTCGCGGATGACCGTATGTTTTCGTGAATGTTTACACGACGCGTGGAGAACGGAGAGAGCGATGGATTCGGTGACAAAGCCGAGCTTTCCGTTGTCACCTTTTACTTTGAAAACGTATACGTTCTATCTTGTTGACGGTCTCGCACGACGTGGAAAAACCCCTGGAAAATTATTAGTCATACACGTATACTTTGCGCCATCTGAAATCGCAATATTTACGCAGCGTGCAAAAAATATCGCGAAGAATATCGCAGAAGAGCCACGGCAGAACCTTATTAAAATATTGTACTTGCAAAGGTAACGAGACAAAAGAAATATTGGAAGGAAATATTAAAAAAATATAGTTTGCGCGATAACAAAAACATACTTTAATTACGTATTCGATTTGCGTAATAATAATGCAAAGCGCGACGAATCTCACACTATATTGCAAATAATTCGTCCTCCTTTGTAAGTAAGACGACAGAAGTATTTTTTTTTTTGTTAACATGTTCATATCATTTTATATATCAAAGATTGAAATTACAATTTGTCGGCTCATTTCCTAAACATTACCGAACAGCGTTTCGGTTGTAGAATTCTTGGCCAGAGCAATTTCGCTCCGACCCGCGATACATTTTTCGGGACGATTCTGCCATAACACATACATTTTTACTTAATATAAATTGGTGTTCGGAAAAAAAGTCTAGAGGGTGCTATTCATCAGTGAGGAAATCGAACTTTCGCTACCCGTCTTTGCCACGAAATCTGTTAAGAGCAAGAAAAGTCGATTTCTTCGGCAACGGTGGCGAGGGGAATGCGATTCGTTTGGAGAAACAACGTACGGTGCGTCTTCCGACAACGACGAGGGAGTGAGAGGGATGTTTTCATCTTTCTTTCTTCTCGCAAGCACTAGCCGACGTAGATTATCCGCTCGCTATCATTGCGAGCATGCGATACAGCAGGTGTTCTTTCCCTTTAACGTCCCTCTTTTTCTTTCTCATTATTTCTTTTTCTTTCCCCCCCCTCACTCTTCCTCTTTCAACGGCGTTTTGATTTTCTTTCTTTTGTACGCTATAATTCCTCGCATATTCAATCCTCATTTTTATACCGCCAGAGTTCTCTGTTTTGGTTTTTTTTACTAGCCGCGGAAAATTTTCAAGATCCGTATTTGTAATATTGTTTTTCTATTAAACGACGTGACTTTTTATGCATTGAGACGTGAATGCAGAGGACAGAGAAATGTGATAATTTCTTTTTTTAATCAGCCAATTAATTCCTCTAATTGTTCGCAAGATACATTTGCAAAAGTCGTGCAAATTAGTCCAGATAGAAGCGTCTATTAACTCGCGCTAAAGAATCACTATTCTACGATGCATAGAGCGAAAATTCGCGGGTGCGAAGAGTCGATTTTTCCGAAGTGAGGTAAAAGGAAGGCGACAAGAGAAGGCGGGAAATTCTCTTTCTCTTAGAGGCTCGCGCGGATGGATGGCGTGGGGAGAAGAAAAAGGAAAAGATTTCTGCCGATGTTCGTGGAGAGTCTGAAGAGGTGCGCTCGAAGCTCGTAGAAGCTTCCATTCATTGCACCTTCCAGGCTGAATAAAGCTCCACGAGGGAGAGAAAGAGAGAGCAGGTACAACCTTTCGCGCCGTCTCTTCATCGCCATATTTCCACTACCTTGCCTTCGGGGCTTTCCTCTCGATATCAGTCGCTCCGGATTCGCCTTCAGATTTGTCCTTCACTTTAGCAAATCTTCCCGGAACAACTATCCCCATCCGGTTGGATATCATATCAATCAAAAAGGAGTCGAGTCGCGGGGTTTCTCGATCGTCCACTAGTAACTTAAGATACTTTAGCTAATCCTTCGACTAGCAGCAGCAGGGCGTTAATGGTCGTCTTACTTCGGATTTATTTTTAATTAAAGTTTGTCGTCTTTGCTTTTCAAATGCGACAATGTTACCCGAAAAGAAAATTTTCTTGCGAGTCAATTAACGCAATTCAGCAAAAAACAGATGTGGAAGGCTCCCCTGCAGATTGACGTAACGATTGACGATGTTTGTGTCTTTTCTCGGGCGACACAAACCGGGAAATTATATAATGTGTTGCTAACTCTATAACATTGCTAAGTGGATGTGAATCCGCTTTAATCCGGATTTTTAATTTGCCCTGTAAGATCCCGTCTACCGTGAATAATCGCGTTTGGAAAGCGCGGATTAAACGCAGGTATATAAATTGATTAGTTGCACGCTCGGCTTAATGAGGACCGTGTAATTTACATTTTGGCCGTTGTGAATTGCTAATTTTAATAATCGCGAAACTGGACTCGCTGAAACGTAAATACGTCTCTATCAACGTTCCATTTCCGTTTCGTAAATAACACTCCATATAACATTAATATCGCAATTTGTATTTGCATCAGTCAGAGCCGCATGATGAAGGCCGTTGCGATTCTTTCGAAAATTCAGCGTTTAATCTT